GGCCGTGGTTGCTATGATCGCTGTAGACGAGTCTCCCGGCAGGCCGATTGGCTGATAAGGGCCTGTGTCAACTTCTTTTTCGAGGTCCGGAGCTATGTCAAGAAGTCCCGGGCTTGCCTGAGTGTACATCCTGGTCGGATGTGGGAGTTATCACATGAATATCATGAATGGCGGCAAGTCACTAGGTATGGTTTGGCGCGTGAGCACGCACAGCATGTTTAATAGCGACACAAGATATCGGTCGGCACCAATTACCATTTTCATTGGCTGATTCTCAAACTCAAAACGTTCAGGTTGTCAGATAGAAACACTCCAGATGGAAATGAAGCAACCGTACTGTATCACGGTGGTATTTCTAGGCCTGAAGCTACAGTACACGTGCAGTGGGCAACGTGGGGCACGTTGAGCACGCCCTGCCCACCTCCTATGTGGCCCCCCTCAGCATGCTCCCCATTGGTGCTTGCAAACCCCACGCCAAAGGGCGCAAATATCGAGTTCCAGAATAAGCGGGACGACAAGCATTATCTCCAAACAAGTGTCCGCCCACACGAGTTCTTAGCCTACTTAGTCCACACGAATTGCTCAAAACACATTAATACGAACTCGAACACGTGTTCTGTCGTGTGTACTGCTCGCCAGTAAGTCAACCCCAAGTGCAAGCAAACCCGCTTTCCAGAATGACTCAACCAAAGTGAACAAAAGCAAGCGACAAACCGGCCCATGGTAGGAAAGGGTTCAAAATATCAAGTCGTTTACCGGGCAATTTTCTGTTGGATCAACCGGTAGTTCCCGCCCCGGTAGACGAGATAGAATTGCACACGTTCCACCCCCCGAGCAGGGTCAGGAATCGACAGCGGAGGGTCATCGCGTGCTATCAAATCGTCCACCTGGAAAGTATACCGTGTGGCGTTTCGGATTACGGACAGCATGGAAGATTGAGTGCAAAGTACGTTCAAATCCCGTTTGCGTTCCCACGACATTAGCTTTCAGGCTTTTCAAGTACAACGAGAACACATCGCTTGCAAGTAATCGAACGGCGTACTTTGAAGGTTGTCGACGGCCATTGCCTGAGAGTTCTAGAGGAGTGAGGTCGACGTCGAATGTTTTAGTATTTTTCTTCCCGCCCTTCCAACGCGTTGACGACTACATAGTACATCTCGCAACGCAGTCAGCACTCATCGGTCACGTTGATGCATCCTAAACCCTACCATATGCTACACGTGCCGAAGTCTTGAGCACAATCGCATATATCAATGTAATGGTTATTCGCAAGGCCTGCCATAAAATCAACTGCTGGACGACTGAGCGCCAGACACCTCGCCGAAAGCCGTACCCCCCTGCCCTGCAAACATGACCGGCGGTGTTCGAGGTTTCAGCGAGACCCGATTGTTGACTGAAAGTTGGAGACATATGCCGATCGGGATCGACGAAGAATGGGAATTCCTCGAATTTTCTTGTGTTCAAAAAGAGAGAGAGAGAAAAGGTCCCCGCAGTTTTCTGATGGTGGGTTCAACACCACCCAGCCTAGAGTGGATCGGAGCAGCCGGTATGAAATGCGTTCCTCCAGGGCACAAGAAAGTGGGGCCGGCGATTTCCCGTGGAAGTCGGGCGTCATCAATCAGACCAATCAGACAAATCAGACCAATCACGGGGAATTTGAATTTTTCGAGTTTTCCCGGAAAGGCGACCTCACAACCGTGCCTGACGTCATCGGTCGACCACGGAATTTCTGTCATGTCGACCAGGGATTTTTGGCCAATCAGAAATTTTCTTTCAAAAAAATTGGCCAATCAGAAAACTGCGGGGACCCTTTCTCTTTCTCTCTGTGTTGTTGGTTCTTCTTGCTACGCCACTTACCGCTCGTTCCAGTTGTTCGATCTCTTGGGCGATTTCTCGCTCACCGGCCATGATGGGTTGCAGCATGATGGCCCGGCGCACGGGGAGACCATCGTTTCTTCTCAACCTTTCCGCTCTGTCGATTGGATGACGGTTTCATGTAGTACAAGCGTTCGACGTCACGGTTGGTTTTGGAGGTTCAGCTAGAGCACTTGTCGTTGTATTGCTGTAGCACTAGGCACACGCTCAGGGTCCAGGCGTTATGAAATGTTGAGTCCATTGGGTCAACCTCAAGGTTCTCGGCGAAAGTACTCCTTGCTTGTCCGGAACGCGCTGAAAAGCAGTTAGTTGTGCTACAAACCTGTTGGATGCGTTCTATGGATGGGATGTTTCGTGTACCCTTCAGACTCGCCCTGCAGGGATCACATTGAGTGGTCGTCCGACATAACTCACAATGTGTGTGTCTCGCGTACTATTAACGTGCCCATACTCGTGTTGTGCGCTGCGGCAGAGTAGCACAGAAGACTTGAACAGTGTTAGGGATATTCCGAAGTTCCCCGCACTTGGAACGACTCGAGGGTGAAATGGCGTTTGGTGTTCCTGTACATACGCATGCACTCCGAACATGGTGTCAGGAAGAATTGAACAACACCTACTCTCTGGACGTGGCGAAAGCGGGGTGCCAGTGCAACCACTCGCATTAAAGTTTGCAGCGGTAGTACACGACACATCACAGTGGGTACATAACCGCACGAAAGAAGTCCCCCTCATCTTCGGCAAGGGGTAGGGTTGAGGCTGGGTTGGGGTTGGGGATGAGGGGGGGGAGGGGGGGTGTACTCATAGTCGTGCATGCCGTAGTCGTTAGACCATTGACCTCGCATCCCTACAAAGCCGGGACGGAGCACGCCGGGTTCTCACCGGACCAGG